TTTAAACTGCAATAGGAGTGTATTTTAGGAAGTCTGGAAGCTAGTTTTCAGGATTTCCTTCCCTGGTTTCCCTTCATAAACATATACATGTGTATATGTATATGTATAAACATATACATGCGTGCGTATTATATATATTATTATCATATACATGGTTTATAATTAGGTAACTATATAAACTAATAACTAATCAACTATAGCTATATATAACTTAACCGTATACGTAGAACAAATATATACTTGCCATCTTAGGTAATGTATTCTTTACATTATAGTCTCCCTCACCAGGAAGTAAACTGCATACGCTTGGGGTTCATTCACTGTTGCACCCGAAATATGAACTGAGTATTTGTTGAGATAATAAATGGCTGCAGGGGAGGCTAAGAATGATTAAAATTCCATCACTTACGTGTGTCCTCCATCGACATTTTCCTTGCTTTTACCTTTTGTGGCGGAAGGCGAGTTCGCTCCCGCCAGTGACCCGTCACGTGGGAGGCAGACCGGCGCCCTTTCAGCGGCTCCGGCACCACGTCATCACGCTGGGACGTTAGACGGCTCGGGCGCGGCGCCTTACGCATGTCCGGCGTCATGACGCAGAACCTAGCAACAGCGCTGGTTCCCGGCTGGTTCCGTTATGGCGGCTGCCGCCCTGGGGAAGATGAGAGGGGCCATGCCAACCAACCTGCTGCCGGTGTTGGGCATCCGGGTCCCCGGCGGGCTGGCGGGGCCGCTCGTCCTGGCGCTCCTGTTGGCTTCTGCCGTGCCAGCTGGTAAAGGGGACGCGGTGGCCCGACGGGCGTGAGGAGACGGCGAGGGCCGGGGCGCGGGGTCGGTCGGGAGCCGGGCCGGGCCGGGGAAGGCGCTTCCGGATGTCCCGAGCGGACCGAGCGGTCTCTGGGCGGCCGGGGCGAGGGGCGGGTGCGGGGGGGGGGGCGGAGGGGGGCTAGTGGGGTGGGGAGAGGTCCGAGATGGTGGGATTTCCCAAGGCCTGAGAGGACAGGTGAGGAGATGTACGGAGAGGGGGGAGTGGCGGCGGCGTCCCGAGCCTCTTGACCCAATAGCGATCGTGGAAATCTCCAGTTTATTTTCATTGATTGATTGATTGATTGATTTTTTTGTGCTGGACCTCCCGAGGCTCGAACTCAAAAATCCTAAACTCCACATGCATTAGGCACAAAGGAGGATGATTTAAGCCTGGAGCTGGTGGCTCACGCCTGTCATCCTAATTACACCCCAAGGCTGAGATCGGAGGATCAGGATTCAAAGCCCGCCTAGGCAGGAAAGTCTGTGAGACTCTTTATCTCCACTGAACCACCAGAAAACTGCAAGTGGCGCTGTGGCTCCAAGTGGTAGAGCGCTGGCCTTGAGCAGAAAATGCTGAGGGACAGCGCCCAGAGGCCCTGAGTTAAATCCCCTCGACTACGACCACTACCACCACCAAGAAGAATAAACCTGCTATAAACATTGGTGTATGGGTTTCTGCCTTAACGTGCATTTTTATTTCTCTGGGATAAATGTCCAAGAGTAAAATTTTGACTTAGATGCTAGTTGCGTAGATAAGTTTTGTTTTTGTTTTTTTTTGACATGCTTCTAAATTGTTTTCCAGAGTGGTTATTTTGTTTTGCCTTCCCACCAGTAACAAGTTTTCTCTTCATCCTCACCACCTTTTGATATTGTCATTATTAGGTTTTATTTTAGCCAGGCTGATAGATACGTAGCAATTGTGATTTTAATTTCTTTTGTTGAGATTAATTGGAAGTAAGAGTCTCATGGACTGTCCTGTCTGAGCTGGCTTTGAACTGCTATCTTTTGGGATATGATACCAGTGATGTGTGAGCTGGGAATGTGGCTTAGTGATAGAGTGTTTGCCTAGCACACATGATACCCTGGGTTCAATTCCTCAATACCACATACACAGAAAAAGCCAGAAGTGGCACTGTGGCTCAAGTGGTAGAGGGCTAGCCTTGAGCAGAAGAAGTTCGGTGACAGTGCCCAGGCCCTGAGTTCAAGCCCCAGGACTGGCTACGAAACAAAACAAAAAATAAGTGATATTGGGGCTGGGAAGGTGGCTCAGTGGTAGAGTGTTTGCCTTGAATGCATGAGGCCCTGTGTTCGATTCCTCAGCACCACAGAAGCAGAAAAAGCTGGAAGTGGTGCTGTGGCTCAAGTGGTAGAGCGCTAGCCTTGAGCTGAGGAGCTGAGGAACAGCGCCCAGGCCCAGATTTCAGGCCCCAGGACCGACAGAAAAAAAAAAGAAAAACAAGTGATGGAAGACTTTTGTAATTATACAGCATTGATGAAAAGACTTTTTTTTTTGCTTCTCTTTTTTCTTCTCTCCTTAGACATTGAATATTCTAATGATTATTTAACATGTTAAAGAATGTTGAATTGTTACCCCCCTCCAGTCCCCCCCCCCCAAGTCCTGGGGCTTGAACTCAGGTCCTGGGCACTGTCCCTGAGCTGCTTTTGCTCAAGGCTACCACTCTACCACTTGAGCCACAGGGACACTTCCAGTGTTTTCTGTTTATGTGGTAGTGAGGAATTGAACCCAAGGCTTCATGGATGCTAGGCAAACACTCTACCACTAAGCCACATTCCCAGCCCAGAATTTTGTTTTTTGTTGGTCGTGGGGCTTAAATTCTGGGCTTGGGCGCTGTCCCTGTGCTCTTCAGCTCAAGGCGAGCGCTCTATGGCTTGAACCACAGCACCACTTCCAGCCCAGAATTGTTTATCATTGCTCTTACTAATGTGCTAAAAACAATGATCAATACTGTATTTATTGATACTTGCCTTCAGAATTATCAAAAATACTTCCTTGTTACTTAAGTATGACTCTTGGAAATCAGTAGCCTTAAGTGCCATTAATATGAACTTAATATCATAAGAAGTTATCAGCAGAGTAATGACTAAAATTTGGAAAATGCCATAATAGTCTATTTTATTACTGGTTTGCTTTTTTTTTTTTTTTTTGTCGGTTGTGGGGCTTGAACTCTGGGCCTGGGCGCTGTCCTTCGGCTCTTCAGCTCAAGGCTAGCGCTCTACCACTTGAGCCACAGGGCCACTTCCAGCTTTTTTTTTCCTGCTTCTGTGGTGCTGAGGAATCGAACCCAGGGCCTCATGCATGCAAGGCAAACACTCTACCACCGAGCTACCTTCCCAGACCTAGAACAGACTTTTTTAGATAAGTTTTTTTTTTTAATTTCTTTATTGAGATTGTGGTTACATAAGTTTCATAATACTGTGGGATAGTGATACTTAGCTAAAGTCACAAACACATTTTAACCTTCACAAGGCAAATTGTTATCATCATGGCCTATAAGGCTTGTGAACTCCACAAACTTTGACAGTACACTATTTCTTCCAAACAGGGTGATATGTACATTTCCTTTTGCTTAGTGTAAGCTGTTCCTTCTTTCTCATTCCTTCCCTCCCATAGCTGCCCATGAGTGGCTTATTTTCATCACTGTCCAGTGTAGCTGATGGGCCCCTCTGCTGTATTTTTTTTCACCTGTTAACCTCTGATCTTTAGACAAGTTTTTAAGTTCACATAAAAACAAATATACAAAGAGTATTCGGATATCTGTATATGCCCTTCACAGTTTGCCTTAGTTCTCAGCCTCCTGAGTAGCTAGGATTACAGGCATGAGACCCCAGTGCCTGGCTTGTGGTTTTAATTTGTGTCCCTAATGGTTAATTTTTTTCATGTACTGTAAGCATTATGCCCACCTTTGTTCCTCAGCTCCACCCAGACCTGAGCTCCTCCCTGCCCTCAGTTCCTGCCATACAGCTGTATCCTCCCTTTCTCCACCCAGACCCACCTGAACTCCCATCTACCTCACTTCCTATCCCAGACCTCACTACTATCTAGATAGTGGAGGCTGCCATGTGCGTTCTCTCCGGGGCACATATGGCTCCTCTAATAAACCTTGTAATAATCTTTCTTCTGTGCCTGCCTGCCTCCGCAAGGTCCCCTGGGATGGATGTGATGGATCCTTTTGTGTACTTCAGTAAACGCACTGTGCTGAATAGGTAGCAGCACAGTAAAATAATTTATCTGTTTTGGTGCCATTTCCTATACCTAGATTGCCTTTCTCAATCTTAAAATTTGTCTAGTTGTCACTTAGCTTTCAATTTCTAATTCTTGTCTTTTAGGATTTTTCTCCTGCTTCCTTTGTATCATTTTTTCTTTTAAATTTGAAGGAAGGAGTCTTTCAGTTCAAATATCATTTAGAAATGATATCTATAGCAGCTTATAGCTTCTCTCTCTGTCTCTCTTTCTTTCCAGTTCTAGGGTTTGAACTCAAGGCCTAGGTGCTGTCCTTGAGCCTCTTTGTGCTCAAGGCTAACATTTACCACTTGCTTTACCACTTGAGCCACAGCACCACTTCCAGCTTTTTCTCAATAGTTTATTGGAGATAAACTTTCCTGCCTGGGCTGACTTCTAACCTTAATCCTCAGATCTCAGCCTCAAGAGTAACTAGGATTACAGGTGTGAGCCACCAGCCTCTGGCTATAGCTTAAGTTTGTTATATAGTGTTGAAAGTATTAGGTCCAAATTCCTTATCTTTTATTGGGTGATCTTAAATGGTGATGAAGTCCAGCCTCTGTTAAAGGAAAACAATGTGGGGATGGGCACTTAGATCTGACTCTTCTTCCAGTACAGGCTATGCTACAGATATTATGCTGCACATTGTTACTATCTGACAAAGCAACTGTCACTTAACAATAGCAGTAAGGGACCAGTTGTGGTAGTGAAATCCATGAGCCAGGCAGTCAAGAGACTAAAGAAATATAACAGATAGCCATTGAAATTTAACTACTTTGTAGAAAGTTATAACTCTTAGCAAAGAGGAATGCTTAGTGAAAAGGGGTACAGAAGCTTTTTGCTTAGTAGAGTTAAAGGTGGAGATTTTTATATAATGTTTTTCTTTATTTCCTATGTATTAGGAACAGAGCCCACTGGCCAACCTGTACAAAATACAGATATTTCTTCTTCAAACATGAATACTTTCTCACAGGAAAACAAAACCAAACCTTCTGTTTCTCAAATCAGTACCACTCTCCCTCCTCCAACTAGTACAGGAAAAAGTAGAGGAACATCCGTAGCTCCCCGTCCCTCACCTACTACCTCACTGTCCCAAGAGGAGGCTGAGAACAATGAAGATCCTAGCATGGAGGAGGAGGATCTTCTCACACTGAATAGTTCTCCATCTACCGTCAAAGACTCTCTGGACAATGGGGATTATGGAGAACCAGACTATGACTGGACCACCAGCCCCAGGGACGATGAGCCTGATGAGACTTTGGAAGAAAACAGGGGTTATATGGAAATCGAACAGTCAGTGAAATCTTTTAAGGCCCCATCCTCAGAAGTAGAAGAGGAAGATAGCCACTTCTTTTTCCACCTTATTATTTTTGCTTTTTGTATTGCTGTTGTTTATGTTACATATCACAACAAAAGGAAGGTAAGTTTGAGACTTTTTAAGTCCTTTTAGTTTTACTATCAGTTATTTTCAAATTATTTTTTAGTCAGGTTAAAAGTGGTGGTAAAAAGTTGGGTGTCTAATCAGTTTATAAACCTATGATATATTTGAACAAATTACAGACAATAGAGGAAGAATTAGGCTGGCAGCATAGCTCAAGTAGTAGAGCAACTGTGAGGCTCTCAGTTTAATCCCCATACTGCTAAAAGATAAAAAAAAAGTCATATTATTTCTTTGAACGGACAAAGTCAAAGCTCACTTGTGTGTGTGTGTGCATGTGTACATGGGTGCATGTGTTTTGAGACAAGATCTTTCTGTGTAGTCAAGGCTAGTCTAGAACCCATGATTCTCCTGCTTCAGCCTCCTGAGTCCTAAGATTATAGGTATGTGTCATTATACTTTGCTCCCTGGTGATTTTTTTTAAAATGGTTTATCTTATTTAGTATCACTGTTCCAGTGGAAATACTTGTGGAGCAAGAAAGTTTATTTACTAATTTTACCTTTTATTGTTGACCCCAATGATTTTGCAATAACTTTTCTGGTTATGAAAGTATTACGTGTTTATTTTATCTAATTAAGAAAATACAAGAGCTTAGTAAAATTTAGGCTGGGTATACTGGCACATATCTATACCCTAGCATTCAGGAGTTTATGGCTGGGGGATCATACATTTGAGACCAGTTTACATAGTGAATTCTAGTATAATCTGAACTACATAATGAGACCTGGTCTCAAGAAAATCAAAGAAAGGGCTGGGAATGTGGCTTAGTGGTAGAGTGCTTGTCTTGCATGCATGAAGCCCTGGGTTCGATTCTTCAGAACTACATAAACACCACATAAACAGAAAAAGCCAGAAGTGGTGCTGTGGTTCAAGTGGTTCAAATGGTAGAGTGCTAGCCTAGAGCAAAAGAAGTTCAAGGACAGTATTCAGGGGAAAAGAAAGAATTTAAGCAACTCATTACTATCTAGAGCATTATTAACATTTAATGTGTAGTGATGCTGTGGCTCAAGTGGTAGAGTGCTAGCCTTGAGCTGAATTGCTGAGGGACAGCGCCCAGGTCCAGAATTCAAGCCCCATGACCAACCAAAACAAAAAACAAGAAAAAAATGACTTTGGAGACATTGAGGAAAAATTGAATATAGCCTATACAACATTTAATGTGTTTCTAGTTTACAAAGATAAATATATATGTATGTTACAACTTTTAGATAGTTTGTTTTTGTGGGTTTTTTTTGTTTTTGTTTTGGTGCTAGTACTGGAGCTTGAACTTAGGTCTTTATGCCCTCCTTTGGCCTTTTCTTTCAAGACTGATGCTCTACCACTTGAGCCACATCTCCACTTGTGGCTTTAATTTACTGGTTAGTTGGAGATGAGTGTCACAGAGTTTTCAGCCTGGGCTTAGCTTTGAACCTGGATTCTCAGATTTCAGCTAGAATTATAGGTGTGAGCCACTATTTGCCCAGCTTCATATCTCATAGAGTTTTGTATTTTGATTTTTGTCTAATCATGAGCATTTTTCATAATATTTAAAAAGTGTGGTGAATCAATTCAGTTATTTTCCTATTAGACATTTAGGTTATTTCTCTTTTTGGTTCAGAAATAATATTGTGGTGAACATTTCTGTGCTGGTGTTTGTTTGTTTGGTTACATGAGGCAAAGGAGGCATAGATGGATGGTTCATTTAACATGAGGGCACAACTCATCACAGTCCCAGAGTTGAGCAGCTGAACATTTCAAAAGTCTTAGTGGGGAATGAAGCACATATTTCCTTTTTAATAGTTAGTGCTCAGGAAATCTTAGTTCTTGACTTGTAGCTTGCTTTGTGATTTCTGTTTTTTGTTGTTGTTGTTGTTGTTGATTGTGGAGCTTGAACTCTGGGCATGGGCACTGTCCCTGTGCTCTTTAGCTCAGGGCCAGAGCTCTCCCGCTTGAGCCACATAGCCACTTCAGGTTTTCTGGTGGTTAATTGGAGATAAGAGTCTCCCAGACTTTCTTGCCCGGGCTGGCCTTGAACTTTGATTCTCAGCCTCCTGAATAGTTAGGATTATAAGCAAGAGCCAGCAGCGCCCAGTGCGCGCGCACACACACACACACTCTCTCTCTCTCTCTTTCTTTCTTTCTCTCTCTCTCTCTCTTTCTCCCTTTCCTCTCTCTCTCTCCTCTCTCTTTTCTCTCTCTCTCCTCTCTCTCGTCCTGGGGCCTGGGCTCTATCCCTGAGCTTCTTTTGCTCAAGGCTAGCACTCTACCACTTGAGCCGCAGCGCCCCTTCTGGCTTTTTCTGCTTATGTGGTACTGAGGAATCGAACCCATTCCCCCTGGCTTTGTGATTTCTTGTAAGCCATCTTCCTCTGGAAGACCTTGATTTTGTTACTTGGAAATGAGAAAACTGGGCCAAATAATTTCAAAATGCCCCTCTACCTTTGAGAATCAGTGAATCTAACAATAGAAATCAGCAAAGAAACTGAGTTATTTGTGGTTACTGAGCTGTGTTCCTAGCTTTGTAAGTATTGGAGTCAGTGTTTGGTGCCTAGCTTTCTTTATTATGAACTCAGGCACTAGTGAAACACACAGGCTCCTGGGCTCCACCTCAGGTTCTAAGCTCAGGCTCTGAAGATAGAGCCAATCAATGAATGGAGTCTTCCCAAACCTTTTGAGTATCCTGACATTTCAGAAGCATTGTCTGATCTTGTTAGCAAGATAGAAAACAACATAGTATTTTTGATGTTACTTCATTTTTGTGATTGGGAATCTAGAAGAGAGACAGAGAAAGAGAGAAGGAGAGAACTTGCTACAAAAAGTTTTAATATATCTTCTGTTTTCTCTTTTGCATATCTAATTAATGTTATTTTATTCCAGATTTTCCTTCTAGTTCAAAGCAGGAAATGGCGGGATGGCCTTTGTTCCAAAACAGTGGAATATCATCGTCTAGACCAGAATGTTAATGAGGCTATGCCTTCTCTAAAGATTACCAATGATTATATTTTTTAAAGCACTGTGATTTGAGTTTGCTTATTATGTCATTTTATTTGCTTGACTTTTTATATATGATATTGTGCAGATGTTTGCCACAGGCATTTGGTACTTAAATGAGAGGTGGATCTCTCTTTTGCCTTGGTGCTTTGGAAATTAAATGTCACAAATACTTTTAGAGCTGAGTTAATCAGGTGTCCAAAGTATGAGTTAAGCATCACCTTATATTTACAGTTTTTATTATTTTCCATTTATTGTTTTTTCTGAAATTAATACTACTTGTAAAAGATTCCAAACTTAAAAAAAATTCTAACGTAGATAATACTGCTGATTCAGATCTACTCTTTGCCATCCAAATGCTATTTTTTAAAGCACTTATTTCTTATTGGTCCCACACTGTAAGTACAAGGGTATTATGTGTGATGATGTTTTGCATTAAAGTAATACTTTTTTTCTCTTAAGAGAACTCTGGATATTTTTAGGGAATTAAAACACAAAATAGTGATCTTGTTCAATCTGACCACAGTCTTAGGCAACACATTAAATATGTCAGAAACTCTGGCAAAAGAGAATATAGTTTGCAGTGAGCATAAGATAAAATATATTGATAGCAGTTTTTGGTTTGAATTACTGAATTAAATTTAGAGGTGGAAACTGTGATAAAGAACTAAATGCGTGAACAGTTAATTTTAGCAGTTCATTTGTAGCTCTGGTCTCAAAGGTTTCAAGCAATGGGAAGAGTTTAAAGTTACATTTGTTCACTTTGTTTCTTACTGTGTAATAAGATGGAATAAACTTTTAGGTCATTATCATTTAAATATATCATTTAAATAATATATATAGGCCTTTCAAATTAAAATTACTGGAAGTGGTTTGTATACTTAGAGGACATATATCCATACATACATAGTATACATTGTGTACACGTATATATGTATGTATACACGTATATATGTATGTATGTATGCACAATGATCTTCCCATGCCTATCTTGTTTTATTGTTGGTTGTTTACAGCAACTGGAAATTATTTACTATATTTCACTTTAGCCCGTGTTTCTATCATAAAGAATTGATCAGTATGTAAATATGTGATTTGAACCCTGTTGTCATGGAAACCTTATCTTTACTGTGTGCTAACCAAAGCCCAGAGGAGCCAGTGGTCACATGCTTTGGGTAGAGCTGGAGTAGCAGTGCCGTCCACCGTCCTCTCCAGCGGACAGCTGACTTTCAATAAGGGAAGCACAATGGATATACACCTGAACTGTTTTATTGCAGCAATTTTTTTCATATCTGAAATTGTATTATTTAATATTTTGAATAAGATTTTAAAAAATAAATGGCAAAGATATAAATCAGTGCTTTTCCAAGCATGTTTCATTTCACTGGCCATATGTAGTAGGAACAGCATAGTCCCACATCTGGGAGGAAGTGAGCTGAGTAGCCTGTAGTCCCTGTCAGCTGTAGAACCCTGCCTGCAAGGAATGCCACGTCCATTTCAGCAGTTTTCTTAGGCTTACTGCTGGGTGCTGACATGTATTGACACTTTAGCAAAGTAGCATCCTTGGCTCCCTTTTTCTAGAAGGCTGCCTCTGCCTGCAGGACCATTCTTGGTGCATCTAGGGCCATGTAGCACTGTATTTCTTCTTGCAGTTTGCGGTACAAGTTCCAATGCTGCCATCCAATGGCCTTTGGCTTGGAGCATCATGTCTAACATAGATTGAAAATGCTGCTGGACTGACAAGGTATTGGAGCTGCCAGAGGGGAGGAATTTAGAACCCACATTTGAGATGCCAACACTGAAGCACCTTACTCATCTATCTGTGATCTGCTCACATCTTCTAGATATGCTTTCTGGATAGACCAGTGTTCAGTGTTTGCCATGATGGCATAATGGGTTATCCCATAGTTTCTGTGTCTTAGCTGAAAAGGAAATAAACGTTGAAGATTTGTCCTGGCAGGCAGGCTGGCCTGTCTTGACTGGGTTTTAGGAATCAAGTTGTAGAAGTGTGCACAGGCTCTTTTGTGGAATGTATGACTTGCCTCACAGAGTGTTTGAGGACAGGATATGGCTGTTACTTCCTTCCTGCCTTCCAACTTGGTACTGCCTGGCATTTTTCCAGGCCTGAATTGGGGCTTGAACTCAGCCTAGGTGCTGTCCCTGAGCTTCTTTTGCTTAAAGCTAGCGCTCTACCACTTGAGCCACAAAGCCACTTCCTGATTTTTCTGTGTAGTTTATTGGAGATGAGTCTCATGGACTTTCCTGCCAGACTGGCTTTGAACCATGATCCTCAGATCTCAGCCTCTTGAGTAGCTAGGATTATAGGTGTGAGCCATTGGCAACAGGCTTGAATTGTTCTTTTTTTCTTTTTCTTTTTGGCTGGTAGTGGAGCCTGAACTCTGGGCGCTACCCTTCAGCTCTCCAGCTCAAGGCTAGCATTCTATCACTTGAGCCACAGTGCCACTTCCAGCCTTTTCTGCTTATGTGGTGCTGAGGAATCGAACCCAGGGCCTCATGCATGCAAGGCAAGCATTCTACCACTGAGCCACCTTCCCAGCCCCAGGCTTAAATTGTTTAGATAAAGTTTTTGAGAAACTAGATGCAGTGGGAACTAAGGCAGCCTTAGCTCTGCGCAGGATCACACATCTGGTCCTGGACACACCTGTACTTTGGGGATGAGGGCCAGGATATAGTATATCATACATTGTCCATACACCCACATTCCTACCAGACACTAATTCACACTGAAGTGCCATCTTTCCCCCCAAATCAGACCAGCTGCTCCCTGGTGAAGTAAAAGAGGTCACTTTTGTTGTTGTTGTTGTTTTGTGTGTGTGTGTGTGTGTGTGTGTGTGTGTGTGATATGTGTGAAGCGGGAATGGTAGCACTTCTGCTTTCTCAGCTTGGTTTGGTGCTGGAACCATTTGTTCTGGCTTCTGTATGAGGTAGCTCCATCTTATTGTGAAGACCAGATGTCTACCAGAGAACAGAAAAGGTTTGAGGTCTATCCAGTTTCAGCCAGAATATATGGGTTGGTGACTAATTGAATTTTATTCAACTAAATAAGAGAGGAGATGCCAAGACAGATTCCAGAAATGAACTAGGTACAATTTATGACATACCTTAGTAGTGTGATTTCCTGCTGTCTAGGCTAGTGAAGTGACTCGGTGGAAGTCTGATTTTAGTTAAGTAACATGTCCCCATGAGTTCTAAACCTGTCTTCCAGCTCCCCAGAGTCCTAGAATTGCTTGTGTCCATCAAAAAAGCTCTATATTGAAAGGCTCATTGCCCACTCCAGAATTCTTCATCTTCCATCCTCATTCCTTGACTCTAAAACCCTAAAATGCCTTCACTTGTCTGCTTGGAGCCACAGAGATGTTAGGTTCTGGGAATCTTTGACTTCCTAGATAACCTCCCTGGTCACATGCCCTTGTGTCAACCTAACAGCACAAATACATGAGATCCCCCTCAAGGGAGGCAGTATTGATTGAGCTGGATTCCCACTTTGGGTCTGATCCCCAAACCGAGTCTTCCCCAGGTCATTTTGCAGCCCCTAGAAAGGTCAACACAGGGAATGCACAAGGGTGTGGGGAAGAGAGGGTTGATCTTGATCTGAGCTTTTTGTATGGGTCTCATCTTGTACTATGGAAGAAGGGTGATTAACTCACAGAACTGTTGAGGAAAAGATGAATGTTTTTGAAAGGACTTTGTACATGAGGAGGCATTTACATTCACCTCACTGACCACGGATGAGTCAGCAGTAGCCTTAGACACAGAGAAGAGGGAGCTGGGGAGGGAATTGTGCAGGAGTGGCTCAAAGTCCTAGCTGCCTTCCCAACTTCTCCCCTTCCTATCCCCCCTCACCCCTCCACCCGCACTGGGGCTCTCTTGAGGTGCACAGCTTGTCAGAGCTGGGTTTATCCTGAGATATCCAGGATTCATGTCCCTGCTAAGTGACAGATGGAGCTACATTGGAGCTTCCCAACTATTTTCCCTGTTCATCCTTGAGTTTTTCCTGAAAAAAAAAAAAAAAAGGTGGGAATGTGGATTAGTGGTAGAGTGCTTGTCTAGCCTGCATGAAGCCCTGGGTTTGATTCCTCAGTACCACATACACAGAAAAAGCCAGAAGTGGCGCTGTGGCTCAAGTGGTAATGTGCTAGCTTTGAGCAAAAGAAGGTTGGAGATAGTGCCCAGGACTGGAAATCAAGCCCCAGGATTGGCAGGAAAAAAAAAAAAAAAGGTCAAAGGGTCCTTTCCATCATCAGGTGAATGATTCCCAAGTACCCAGGACTCCAGAGAGAGATGGTTCCTTGTAGGGTATGCATGTCTAAACTTCCCCTCTGGGAGGGAGAATGGAGCTGGGCTTTGGACCACAAATGGCCCCCCTCAGGTGTGCCCACCTTCTGTCATGACTATTGAAACAAATGCCTGGACTCCTTTCAGGTTCTGTGCTGGGTGTTGGGAGGCCATGACACGTGCTGTCTCTCTGCCCTTGTGCTTTCAGGCACAGAGGAAAAGAGAATCTGTGAAGGGTGAAGCAGCGCGATGCTGCATTTCGCTGTTTTCATGGTAACAGACTCCAAGGACTGTGACTCTGATGTGCATACCAATCCAATAAGGCAGTTACCATTATCACCCCCCCCCCCCATTTTACAGAGAAGAAGAGACACACATAGAGAGTTTAAGCAATTTGCAGAAGGTGCTATGGCTAAATAAGAGAACTGGGATTGGATTTCAGACTTGGTATGGCTCCAGATTCTCAGTTGCTGAGAGTGTCCCAGAAAGGTAAGAAGAAAAGATTGTCCAAAAGTCCTCAACATTGGGTGGATAGCATTTTAGTCCTGTCAGTAAAAGGTGAAAGATTTATATGGTTTAAAGAAAAATCAGAATTTTTCTTCCATTTAAAACTTCTTTTATTATGATTATAAAATATTACAAATCTTTATTTTTTTTTTTTTTTGTCAGTCATAGGGTTTGAACTCTGGGCTTGGGCACTGTCCCTCAGCTCTTCAGCTCAAGGTGAATGTTGTACTATTTGAGCCACAGTGCCACTACCTGTTTTCTGGTGGTTTATTGGAGATAAGTCTCCGAGGCTTTCCTGCCTGCACTGGCTTTGAACTGTGATCCTCAGATCTCAGCCTCCTCAGTAGTTAGGATTACAGGTGTGAACCACCGGTGCCTGGCAAATCTTATTTTAAGAGCATACTCTAGAAAATTCATCCAATGGTCAGCCTAACAAGTTTTTTCTTTTTCTTTTTGTGGGTTGTGAGGCTTGAACTCTGGCCCTGGGCACTGTCCCTGAGCTCTTCAGTTTAAAGGGAGTGCTCTACCACTTGAGCCACAGCACCATTTCCGGTTTTTCTGGTGGTTAATTGGAGCTAAGAATCTCATGGGCTTTTTGCCTGGGCTGGCTTTGAACAACAATACTCAGATCTCAGCCTCCTGAGTAGCTAGGATTACAGGCATGAACCACTGGCACCTGGCCCTAACAAGTTATTGTAAAGTAATACATGTGTAGCTTTTGCCAAAGAAAGGAAATGGAATTTTGCTAACACCCCAAATCCCATCCTAGATCCTTACGCTAGCCCTCCTTCAGGTATTATTCTTTTGACTTTATTGCACCCCTCCTCACCCCCACATTCATTTTTACATTTGTTACCTAAGTACATTCCCTAAACACCATTTAGTATGGTTTGCAGCTTCAGGTAACTTGAATGATACTCTATGTGTTATATACTTTTATAATTGGCTTCTGTCATTCAACCTTCACCATGTTAGTTCAGCAGCAGAACTCATTGTTTCCATATTGCATCTATTATAAAAATATATATACTACAATATGCTCCTCAAGTCTGACATTGAAGGATACTTGAGTTGCTTATAATTTCAAGTT